ACTAAGACTTCCGTGTCGCTGACGAACCGTGTTAGGTAACTGTTTTCCCTATTGAATAGAACGCCAATTGTTTCTTTTGTTATATTATCTTAGTTGGATTTATAAAAAAAAAGGTAATCATCTACCAATAGTTGAACTTATATATGTTAGTAACGATAGGCACATTTAGACTAATGTTTATGTATCTGTGTGCGACGTTTTACGAAGGACATCTAGTTCTTGCTAATTAACTCGTTTTTGTGTCTACATATGTATATGTAAATTAATTTTGTACAAATACACATACACATGTATTAAAGTACCTCATACATAAACATGGGGCTTTGCTCATATCAGGTAAAACTTTCCAGTATAGGTTTGCTAAATGAGTTGAAATTATTTTTGAAACTGGTTTTTATGGATTTCACGATAAAATTGATTCTATGTTCAATATTGACTGTATGTATATACGATTTCTAATTCGTTTTTGCTGTACAAGCTAGTGATTCAAAACGAGGAATTTTTAAAGTTTCGGTAGCATAAAAAAAAATTGATCATGTAACAACACCGAAGTTGACTTTTGTATTTATATGGGTGTAAAATTTGCGCATTTGGTAACCTTTTGTCGTAAAAGTTAGTCAAACGCTGGTGCATTTGGGTCATTCTGTATATCGAATTGCGACAGGATTGTCATGCGCGATGCATGAGACGCGAGCATACATTCGGTCAATTCGGGGGTGCAGGATGCTGTTAATAGTGGAAAATGTAAACTGTTCAACATTTTTTTTGTTTTACTGAACAATAAAATGGATCGAAGATACGTAACGCCCTGATATAATCAAATTTGAGAGTAGACAAGAAAAAAAAAATGAAATTTTACGGAAAGTACTGAAATTCTCGTGCTATATACCGGTTCGGAAAAATTTTCAATATGTCCTCTGATGTGAACTCCGTCATTGATGCGTCTCCTTTCCAGTGTTGCCGATTGATATTAAACAGATAAAGTGTTTTATTCGGTGTGATGTGGAAAAGGTATTAAAAGAAGTAAGTTGGCATAGTTTCTATACGTAGAGAACCAGTTCATAAAAATTGAATTTAAAAGCCAATTTATAAAAGGTTGATTTGTGTATTTTTCCGTAATTTAACTAACGTGTACTAAATATTATACATATACATGTAGAACATGCAAATGATTGTAATGAAGGTCACTTTTTACAAAGTATTATATCATCTTAATAATTTAAATTATTCTACATGCGGAGCATTTCTGAGAAGGAGAGAATTTAGAATTTTTTATGCTACAAAGGTTTTTTTCTTTGTGTAAAAGACATCTTTGTATTGTTGAGCAGGTAAAAAAGAAATTAGAAGGAAAGTTTGGCTGGTTTCATTAAGTTACGTTTTTAGCTGAACATGTTAAATTAAATCGGGGAATCATAATGTAATCAACTTTTCAGCAACAGCAACTTTTAGTCAAAATCATAAAGAAGAATTTTTATAATTTTTGTCACAAAAATCCTTTAAAACGTTACTTTCTGTACATATAGTACCTCTAGATACCTGTAAGTGTTTTACCACTTTTAGTAGCCTTGTTTAGTTTTTCGCGCATTATCATATTTTAAAATGAATTTTAACATTAATATTTTATCTTATTTCTATTAACCAAATGAAATTTGTTGTTGTGCAAAGCTATGAAGAAAGAATTGTTAACGTTATTTTAATATGAATTGATGCGGAATCATGGAAACTTCGTAAATAATACTAGAACTAATATGACAAAAATTAAGTTAAATACTCACTTATACATCCTGTTGCTCTTTCATTAAATGTGCTATGGATTTCCACTTGATTGCTTGTTGATGAAAACTTCAGTCATCTGAAAATAAACAGAAGATGTTAGTAATGGTAATGTTTTCTAAAATCGTAACTTAAGAAATTTTTGAGATAAAAGAGATCCTATTCGCGTTAGCAACAGAGTTTGTTTTAATATTATAATGTCAACGTCAAATTAGGTATATTTAACTGAGCTACGTTTAAGTATTTATATAATTCGAAAAAAGTCAAAAGTATCGTATTCAAAAAGAGAATAATGTCAACGTCAAATTAGGTATATTTAACTGAGCTACGTTTAAGTATTTATATAATTCGAAAAGAGTCAAAAATATCGTATTCAAAAAGAGAAAATTGTTCGTGGAGAAAAATTATTGATGTATTCCTCTTACAGGAGAAACTGCTAAGTATCTAATCTAAGTAGGATAAAATCATTGATAACAAAATATAAAATTAACTTGTATTGCTAAAATGTTCGATGAGGTAACCCGTGCCAATTTAGATTAAAGAAGTTGTTTTAGTGAATATTAATTTCATGTTCATCCAGATCGAGTATTCTTGAGCAAGACGTGGCAACGCTGGTAGAATGTGTGTTATATGCGCAGTAGCGCCCGGATTGGTCCATCGTGTACCTACTATCTCCCACTACTTTCGCGTCGCTACTGTTCGCCAGCTCGTCGCTTTCTTTCGTAGTCTGCATTCGTAGTTTGACCCGTGATCGTGTTGTTGATTGGTTAAGTGGTGCACCGTCACCACTGCTAACTGCACACACGCTGGCAGACGAACCAAATAACAACGGCCGGTAAAGTTGTCTCATATTCGTAACGCTTGAAAGCCATAGCTTTGTAACTCTTGACGAATTTGCTATTGTCTGGGACGAAACGTAGCATTGAAACATTAGATGTATACGTGTTTAAAATGATGTAACGATGAATAACGTGCAATCGAGCTTGGCTAGCAGCGGCAGTAGTAGTTCCATCGGTAACTGCGGTGGTGTAGAACATCAGCAAGATGTGGCTGCTTCCGCAAGTACAGCCGGCGAGAGCAACCTGTACTGCCACTTCCGTGTCGCTGACGCAAAACTCTCCGCCGTAGCTATTGTGAATATCGACTCGGAAAACTACATGTTGCGTGGCATAAGCTCCTCCGGCCCATCGGAGCGAAGGCCTCGAGCTTTTAACCCTAACAAGCAGCAACCGGCCACCACGTCTACGGCACCCGATGTCGAGCTGGACGGCTTTGCGGTGCGCGAAACCACCAGCTCTCTTGCTACTGCTACTACTTCCGATGTCGCCATGAATAACAACAATAGCATTAACAATAATTCGCCAGAAAATGGTAGTTCTTGCGCTCGTACTCTGTCGTTCCATACGCTCTTGTGCTCCTGTCAGATGTCTTGTTGCTGCATGTGCGGTTCCTTCTGCTCTCCAGATTGCCATGCCTGTTTCCATAAGATCTGCTTCCGGTTTGCACACAAATACGTCTGCCAGAAGAACAACGACGTACTACCACCGGTTACCCTGGACTACGACAAGGTCAGTACTTTTAAAAGTTACAAGTTACTTGCACCTTTTTTTGTAGTTAACATCACCCATCAGCAAATAGGGTCCCTCTCATGTACAATCCACAATGTTAATACCGTAGCACAAGTTGCCCTAGGACTTTAAATTAGTATTTAATTTTATTGGTTCTTACACATATATCGATTTTATATTTGTAAACCTGAAGCAATTACTGGACACTGGTGATTTTGTACGCTCAAGACATAAAAACGTACCTAACCCAACCTTAACTGACAAAATTTTTACGTTACAGGTATCTAAGTAGAGTATATATCTAATTCTAGTTATATACACTTTCCCTTTTAAAAATTATTGGTGACTTTTTTAGAACAATAAAACTGTCGAGTTTTTCAACAATAAAAAACCTACTGAAAGCATAGCCCAAGATTTTCATTAGAAAAGTTTTTTATTCTCTTTAATTTTCAAAGGTATCTTATCTTTAGAATTATGAAACCGTCAAACTAATTTAAATTATTTTGTACGTACATAAATTAACAAGTACCTTAATGTTAAAAAATGTTAATCATCTGTTAGGCGTTATGAAGTTTGTTGTAGGGTGTATACCGTAATAGATGTGTATTAAAAAAAAAATAATTGTGCACGTTTAAATAATAAAAGATACCTGACCATACTTGTACCGTTTTATCTACATCAGATATCAAGAAAAAAAAAATCCATGTTTGATTTGAACTGGATGAGAGATATAAATTTATGCTTCTTTGATAAATTAATAAGCAGAAGATAAAATTGTTTAGTGGGAAGATATTGTTTGGGTATTCATGATAAGTGCTACATATTATGTTGTAGTAAGGTACCGTGGTACCTGTAAAATTTAAAATACTCGGCACATTCTTTTGTTTTCAGTTATCAGTTACGACCCTTATTTTAGATAATAGGTTGAATACCTATCTTTGTTTGAATATATGTATCACGCCACTTTTGTTCCGGTTTTATTGATTTTAATGCAATAATAAATATTGCAACGACTAATACATTAACGATTCTGTTATGTGAGAATATTATTTTGTACATATTTAACTAACAAGATATTTTGCATCAATTAAAAAAGTAGAGAATGAATTATATATTACGTAATTATAGCGAAAGTAATTAATTTGGATATTATTTATACTATCCATTATACTAGGTACCTATATACATACAATTTGTGTTCAATTTAGACAAACATTATTATTATCAAATAATGTAGACTGGTAAGTAAAGTAACACATAATAAATTTTAGTAACAGGGGTAAATAAAGTTATGAAGGAGTCACGAATTTGGTTGAATGAAATTAAAACAAGATGACATTACCTAGCAAAAAAGAATACAAATTAAAAAACCTACAGCGACTAATAACTTCGTTTGGTAGATTAAGTCATGGTTGTCGTAGGTTTTTTCATTTTTACTGTTTTTGCTATTCTACTTTTGACTAATACCCCTTTAAAGTGATAATTTTATGTCTTATTTGTTGAATACTTTTCTGGCATATTCCATACATTTAAAAATGTTCATATAAGTAAGCCGTTTTAATCACTCGAGAATTCCGAACAAAAAACTAATCTGTAACCAGTTTATGATGAATTATGTTACATAACTTCGTTGTGTAGAAACAAAAAATTACCACAATATTTTAATTGTGATTCTTGAAGTAACCGAACAAGATTTTGTATTTAGAACGCGAATGTAAAAGGAATTCAAAATTAAAGTAGACATAAAATTATTCCACCGTTGTTTTCAAGGGGAAAAATATGTATGTAAATCGTATACATAAATTTTCAAATTAAAGAAACTACGTATTCTTTTTCTTTACCATAGAAAAAATCTTTCAATATTGTACGTTTTATTTAATAATCCAACATTTAATTTAACAAGGGACATTGTTTTATTTCGAAAACTTCTACCTTTATGTGCGTTTTATTTAATTTTGTTCTGATATTTGATAATGTTAATACCGAAATTAATGTCATTGCCATACAACCCGTGTTTTGTAAGTCTATTATTATTCACTTTCAAAATGTGAACAACTGCGGTAAAAAGTAATTCCTTTGTGATGTATTAAATTGATATTAGGGGAACTTCGTTAGCTGTAATTACAGTTAGTTAAAAAATGCAAAGCTATTAATTTTTTGTGTAATCCATGGCTTAAATTGTCTTTGATAATTATTTAATGTGCGCCACTGGGTTTATAAGTCCTAAGCTGCGTGAATTATTTAGAAGCTACCCTTTTTTGCTCGATATAGATTAAAAATTTAACTTATCCTTTGATCTCTCAATGTGTTTGAATGTTTTATAATTGTTGTTCATCAAAGAAAAACTACGACAGAAATGAAATTATTTCGTTCCAGCATTGTGAACCGTCAAATCCAGTCAAATTTTTTCTTAACATGTTTTATAATCATTAAAACAGTTGACGGTACCTACTTAACACTGTCAGTGTGGTATGTTAAATCCAAAAAAAAATCTAAAGGATTTTCGAACATTTATATCGATCAAAAATAAATATAACTGGTACAATAAACTTCTTATTTTTTTTATTCTATAAATGCTAACGGTAGTTAAAAAAGTACTTAAATGTCGAAATGATAACGTACGTACTGTCTTTGTTACTTTTATTAAAAAGGCGATTACTTCAGAGATTGTACATAGCGAGTCCACACATTATCTGTAGGTCATGTGTGGCAGTATGATAACGAAGTTAATGTTAAAAATAAGGAAATACCTTAAGCCTATTCTTTCCGTATGGCAACAGCAATGTAATATTAATAAAGGCGGCAGGTACTGTACCAACATATGTAGGTAATAGCATACTTCATGCTCGACAAGATCGTGAAAATGAAAAATTGAAAATTGTTTTACTTATCAAGGTACTTATTCGTGTACCTACATATTTATAAAAAAGATAAGATACTACAGTGATGTAGTTCAATGACATCAGAAGCCCTAAAGGAGTACATGATTGTACTTTCTCCATCGTATGGCTGCATTTTCCTTCTGGACTTAAAGTTTTACCCTTAAGTGAAAATGCTTCACTAACTAATGAGTTAGGTGTAATACAATACATAATCAATATTTATTATTAACGCTATTTTTCGTAAAACCATATAGGAATTTTCTTTCCCTTTTGCTTGCGCTCATTATACTTTAAACAGCAAGTTAAGCTCGCGGAAATTTAAATTTTTGTGCGAATTTCAGAACGGTCTTTTTGAAATAAAACTGTTCGAGATATAACATAAATGCCACTCTATATTTTCTTAGACGTTATTTGGCATCTGTACAGTTTTCTCGCGCAAAACCTGAACATGAAATGTACATAAATGCCAACAAAGTATATACATATGTACATATTTATAACACCTACCTAGACGTTTTGCACGTTGTTTGAAGGAGATTCATTCAACTACTTCACGTCCCCTTTTTTTCTCTTTCAAAAAGACATTAAATACTTGTCCAGAAACCTTTGACCAGATTTCATGCTTTTAATTCCTCCCTCTTACAGTATATACGTATTATATAAGAAATATACGTAAATTGTTTTATTTGGTACGTATGGAGGCAATAATAGAAATTGTTGCAAAAAGTTAATTTTTCTTTGCGAATGAATCGATTTGACTAACATCAGTGGCAGAAATATTTTATTGCATTAATCTGTTGATTAATTCTCAGGAAAACAGGTGGTTTTCAGATAGGCATGGTTGAAAGAATACGAGGGTGGATTGATAAGTTTCCGGCCTGACCAAGAAAAACAAGGTTTTTAAAAATTTTTTTTTTTTATTTCTCAACATAATCTCCTCCAAGGCTGATACATTTCTCATAGCGGTGTTCCAGTCTATTAATGCCATCTCTATAGACTGATTCGTCAAGCTCCTCAAAATAACCATTTACAGCTTCGATTACT